GCAGAACTGCTGTTCAGCCTACTGTTTCCCAACCTTTACCAACACATGGGGTTCTATATATAGAGTAATATCCATTAAGAAGTGGGTGTAGGCAGTGACAGGTTAGCTGGCACAGTTGTAAAAACAAGAACTTCAAGAGTACAGTACAGGAAAAATGTCATATGCTACCAGTCATTGCCACCAGCAGAAAAATTGTTAAATGAATTGACTTGGCAGAACTGAAAGTGAACAAACCCTTTTTGAAGCTGAATTAAAGCCACATCCGTGCTCTGTGCCTGGGAATACGAAATGAGGCAAGTGCTACATCTGTAATAAAACTTTGAGAGAGAAATGAGGAAATGAGAAGCGGCTTCTACACTCACATCTGGCCTAAACATCCTGGATTCTTTCTTAACAGTTGCCCTTTTAGTGGCAGATTTTTAGCAGATTTAGAAGTTTCAGAAACATTTATGTGAACTTTTGGGAGGTAGGTATGGTTTCAGAACTTCTTGTCAGTAAATTTTTTTTAGTTTTGGTAAAATGCTGAAAGTTTTAGGGATATTTCTGGAAGGGAGGAGAAAATTAAAATTTCAGGACAGTAATAAAATGTCAATAATAAACTTGGATTTCCTACTGGCCTTTGGCATGGATCAGGAGAGACTCACTGATATTGAATTTTTGACTGATATTGAATTTTTCATTTCTGGAGAGGTGTGGGCAATCAGGAAAAGCAGAATTAAATTAACTCTATTCCAGAACAAAGAAAGTATTCCAATGCGAACTATATCTTGATGCTGGCAGAGCAATCCAAATTCTTACAAACAGTTGCTTTTCACACCGAGATGTCTTCTTATGAAGTTATCTTGGATATGTTATTTTAAAGAAAACAAACTTTTCTAGTCATATAAGCCTCATGTACTTCACCGCTGTAACTCTCAGCCAATTACAAGTGTGGTTCAGGGAAGTCATTCTCACAAGAACAGAACTTAATTACCAGTTTCCCAGACTAAATTTTCATTATCATTAGGTGTATGTGTAAAGTCATGCCAACTTCTGCTTTTCCTCTAAAATCTATAGCAGCTGTTAAAGTACATACTTGAATTTTTGAAACAAATGTAGTAATGGAGTGAGGCTTTGCATTAGTATAGCTAGATGGCATGTGCTACAGGAGCCATTGCCAAATTACCCTTATGTAAGGGTCATGGATATGCATTTCTGAGTTTTCTACCTAAATGTGCAGTTAATTATGATTTAATATAACTATAAGGATTTGCTAACAAAGAAAGTCTCTATCATTTCTAAAAATAAGGCTTTTCATTGTGGAACAGAAGTTTGGCCTGTAATACAACTCTTGGTCAGAACCCATTTTTTCACTACTAGAAAGACATTGAGGTGGTGAAGTGTGTTCAGAGAAGGGCAATGAATTTGGTGAGCAGTCTGGAGTCCCATGAGGAGCAGCTGAGGGTGCAGGGGTTGTTTAGCCTGGAGAAGAAGCAGCTCAGGGGTGACCTTGTTGCTCTCTGCCTGAAAGGAGGGCGCAGCCATGTGTGGGTCAGGCTCTTCTCTCAGGTAACCAGTGGCTGGATGAGAGGAAATGGCCTCTAGTTGCACCAGGGGACGTGTAGATTGGATATTAAGAAAAAAATTTGGCATGGAAAGGGTTTTCAAGCATCAGAACAGGCTGTTCAGGGAAGTGTTTGAATCACCATCTCTGGAGGTATTTAAAAGATGTGTGGATGTGGCATTTGGGGACATAGAACAGCAGTGACCTTGGCAGTGCTGAGTGGACAGTTGGACTCAATGATCTTAGAAGTCTCTTCCAACCCAAGCTATCATGGATGGCTCTTGCCATCTTGACCTCTTGCATTACAGAGTAACTCACTGGATATCGGGACTGGAAGTTGTAGTCCTGGGATACTTGAGTTTGGTTTCAGTCTCTGAAGTTTGCCTCGGTACTGGTTACTTTCATTTCCCTAGTAAGTGAACTTCCAAGCCCCTCAGGCAGCAATGACTGCAGACAGCTTGAACAAAATGGAATTTTATTTTGTATTATGTTTTCTGAAAAGAAAACATTTTGCTAAATGTGTTTCAGATACTGTACTATTCTAAGCACCTAATTATTGCTATGTGTTTTCAGCTTAAATTTTGGCTTAAACCTGTACAGGCTAGATGATAAAATAAACCTGTACAGGCTAGATGATAAAAAAAAATATTTATCTACAAAACAGATCAACATTTAAAAATGTTTAAAATGAAATTCCTAAAATGAATACTCTGTATTTTGTTTTGGGTACATATTCATTTTAGGTGGTTCTGCTTAGTAAATAGAACACATATTGTGTCTAACTGAATATTTCATAGATTCTGGTCTTCTCTGTTTTAATTTTTTCTGACAGCTATCAATGCATGTAATATTTTTCTCAAAACAGAAAAATATGTTATAAGGAACAATTTTGGCAGATTACGTGTCTCCTACAAAACAAGGATTTTGGAAAACTACTCTGTATAACCTTGGAAAGTTTATACTTTAAAGGAAAAGTTATGACCTTTACATAGATTCTTGTGCCCAAGAGGAAATACAAGTGAAATTATTTCAGTACATGAGGCTTAAGATTTGGCAAAAGCCTTGTGCTTTTTATGCATCAGTGAGACTGGTAAGCAAGTAATCATACAAACAAAGGCTGTAGATTATAAGGAAGCCACAAAACTGAATGCAGCCTAAAAATAAACTTGGAGTTCAGCATAGATAATATGCTTTAAATGAAGAATGCAGTGTTAAGCAAAATTAAAAGGCAGGCAAGGTCTCAGAGATTACATGTGTTATTGATGGAAACAGGCCAGACTACCAACTACCAATTATATAGTGTTGTCAGTGTAAAAACTGAAATGTGCCACATTTCCAGACTTCCAGTTTTTTCAACTTCATTCAGCTCTTGCTTATTAGTAACTTGTGTCTTGCCCCATTCAACAAAGAGCACTCCACAGTGAGCTCTTTGGAAGCAGGGAGAAGGCAGAGGAAGCTCCTCACTCCTGACTGCCCAAATGGCTTTTAGGGCAATGCCAGCCCTGCCATCCCTCCTGCAGAGGTCCCAGATGAGCCCCTCTCCCTCTGGTGTGGGTGGGAAAGGGCTGAAGGCGAGGGAGAAGGGAGCCACTGCTGCTGGGAGTCCACACTGCTGGACTCAGGATTGATCTTGAAGTGACAAGAGCAGGTACACAGAAAGATGACACATCAGCGAGTGAAGTAACCCTCTTTTCCTCTTCCTGGGAAAGGGCTGGTGGCAGCTGGGAGCTCAGGCTGCAGGTTAGTACGGAGGAGAGGCACGACTCCAGCCTCCTGTCCTTCCTGCTGGAGAGAGGGAGCTGCCTGCCTGTTCCTACAATTCCTCTGTGGTCTAATGTAAAGTACATTCTTAGGGGAGTTTGCTTGGAAAACAAAGTGAATCCCAACAATTCTTGCCTTATGTGTGAATATCCATGGTAAATAACTGCTTGAGTTAATTTTTAACTGACTTGGGTAATATTTGTTTTGGTAGACACCTCTGAAAATTCTGATGAAATAGTTCTGCATCATTAATTTATATGTGATCTATATAAATGGCATATTTATGCTGAAGGAAGTTGGTCTCCTGGATTTAGTTGTTTTCTAGGAGGTCATTTTTTGTTCTATCTTTTGATTCATGTGTATTTTTTATTAACTTAATCTCAATATTTTCAAGAAGAAAAATTCTAAGGAAAAATAGATGCCTTGTGCAATTTTTTTTTTGGTCTTACTTTACATTTTTAATGTTTCATAAAAAGTGTTTAAGTTTTTGAGTTTTGTGTGAACTTATTCAGGGAACTAAAAAATCTGCCTAAATTAGATAAGTAACGTCTAATTTACTAAACTTTAAAGTCTTGATTGCAAAATTAGGCAAGTTGAATTCCATGCTAAGAACTTAAGCATCACTGTTCAGACCCCTTTAAATCACAGTGATAAAAAAAAAAGAGAAGTAAAAGTTCTTTTTTTTTTTCTCATTGGGTTTTAAACTCTCGTGATATGCAATGCCACCCTTCCCATCTTTTTCAGAACCTGCAAAAATTAAATATTATGGCTATTTGCAATGAAAATTAAATTTCCCATGACATAATTTACCTTTAGAAATAGAGCTTTTGAGAAAAACTACCATTACAGAGCATTAGATGTGTCTGTAGGTTTGGTCAGCATGACACACTTCCTATTATCATGTCTTGAGATTAGATGATTGTGGACTCAGAAATATCGATGGATTAACATGACAAATTAACATTGCAGCTCTGGACACTCATGGCCACTGACTGCATTTGTTTCTAGTTCTGGAAATAGATGGTAAATGTATGTGTGTACTTAAGCAATTTTTCCTGGATTTTACATCTAAGGCTGTCTTCTACTTTACATTTTACTTGAGATGAGAGTTCCTATCCAATGATATGAATGGCTTAAATGATTTATGATTTTGTTAATATGAGGTAACTTATTATGAGCTTAAACCTGGTGATTGGAAAGTCATTGAAAATAATTTTGGAATCATTATTCTATGCAGTGTTGTTAAATAAATGAAGATAAGCTAGATCAAGAGAAGGTATTTGCATCTATCTGGTGGGATTAGATAAGGGTATACTTTAAAGAATTAATTAGATTTTTTTTTTCCCTCCTCTAAGCTTGTTTATTATTTAACACTTGAGGTCTTGAATCACTTATCCTGTGTTTCCAGCTGTTGTATTTATAGCAAACATCTGGTCCCACCTAAAGCAAAGTTTCATCTCTTTGTAATAGCTGGACTGTGAGCTCAGTGTTATCAATGTTGAGCTTCCTCCTAGAGTTAAGTTATAATGAAAAAGAAGTAATTCTTGAATGTAGCACTTCTGGAACACCATACATTAAATATGTTTTCTTTACTGCAGTATTTCTCTCTGATTTGTAAAAATGATTATAATTTAGTGACTGTGAAGTATTTGTGGGAAAAAGTAAACAACAACTAATGATGTCTTCTCTTCTGCAGAAAATTACATCAGCAGTTTGAGATGTATAAGGAGCAAGTGAAGAAGATGGGTGAAGAATCACAGCAGCACCAGGAGCAGAAGGGTGATGCCCCAACCTGTGGCATCTGCCACAAAACCAAGTTTGCTGATGGCTGTGGCCATAACTGTTCCTATTGCCAAACGAAATTCTGCGCGCGCTGCGGAGGCAGAGTGTCCCTGCGGTCCAACAAGGTATGGAGCTGCGAGAGCTGGGCAGCAGGCTCCTCCCAAACTCATTGCTTATGAATCCAAATCACATAACTACTGAAATGGATTTCCTCTAAGGAGAAATCTACTCCAGGGCCTTTTAAGATACCTGGCCTCATTTCATGTAATTTCCAATTGCATATGAATTTGTGATTATGGCTTTTCTGTTAATACATATCCTTTTTTGACGAACAAGCAAGTAAATTTCTTTGATTGGAGAATGAATCTCTATTTGAGAAACAGAAGTATATCTAATGATCCAGTGATGCTAATATTGAGATATTGATTATTACAAAGTAGAGCAAGGATTTGTTTCTTTCTTGCTTGCTAAGGCTCTTCTGTACAAGATTATTGTAGAATTAGTGTTAGAAAATTTTATATAATATAATATTGTGCTTTAAAATATTTATTAGCTATTGTACGTACCCACACATATTATGCATATTTATATGTGCATACATATGCAAATGTTAACCTATTTCTGGGAAATAATTAAATGCACTAAGATATATTGTTCTGTATATGCTGGAGAGTATAGTATAGCAAGTGGTAAACAGCCATCTGAATTGTTAAAAATGCTGAAGGATAGAGTATAAAATTCAGCACAACTGATGTAATCACGGAAAACTCCTCTGAGATCATTTTACTCAACATTTTAGATAAAATGTTCATATCTGATACACAGAATCTTTCTCAGATTCTGACAGATAGTTGTAGAAGACTTATGGCAATATTCAGGAAGTATTATGCTAGTCTTTTTTGAAAAGATGTATTTTGTAAACAATACAATTTTATTATTTTAATGTTTATTAATGTGATATTTTTATATAATTTAGTTACATAAGTCAATTTTTTCAGTAATATGCTCATTACAAGTACCATGCAATTGGTAAATATTATCTTTTGTAAGGTAGGAGACAATAGTATGCTTATGTATTTCTTGGCCTAAGACTGAAAAGTAGGTTTAAATAACAGACTGAAGTTTTTGATTACCAAAGTATAAAAAAATAAAAAATTATAAAAATTTAATAATAGTTCCTGATAATTAAAGTAACTGAGATTATGTCTAAATGTGTGAAATCGCCTTGGTTTTCATTAAGGTAACTTAAAAATGCTGCCTTCAGTATGTTTACATATTTTATTTTTTTTTTAAATAACTAAGTCATGTTGCTAGGAATAAGAGAGACAATTTCTGTATTCATTTCAACTGATTACAAAAGCCAATTAGGACAGATATTTGATGTAGGCATATAATTATGCCTACATCCTTAGAAACATAGCATTAGGAAAAATGCTTCATTTCCTAATGACACATTCTGATACACCATTTAGGTTCTCCTTGAGAGGGATCATTTGAACTTGACAGACAGATATATGTCTGACTTCTCTTGACAGATTTCCAATGAGATTCTTCCACAGAGTCTTAGGTAATTCCTACTCACCAAGCTCACCACAGACAGCTTTTCTTAATGTCTAACCCAAATCTGTCTTTCAGTAAGTCAACTTCTCCATTCAGTCTGAGACTGTTCTGCAACCCTTCTCAGCTGGCATTTTCTTCTGTTTCTTCTTTTTGCTCATGTAGTGTGAGGCTTCCCTGCACCTCATTCATTTTCGTTCTAGATAATTTATGAATAAGGTGAACAGAGTATCTCTGGACTGATCTCCTGTGAGGCTTTGCTGTTGAAATTTTTGCTTAAAAAAAACCTGATCATTTATTGCTGTTTTTTTTTCTTGTCCTTTCATTAATTAAATTTTCTCGTGGATGAATTTATTCCTATTCCATGGCAGCTGAGATTCTTTAAAAGCATGTAATTCCAGCTGAGCAGTAGGACTAAATCCCATTTTCTTACTTTCTCTGTGACAACTTGAAAGAATTCTAATACATGTAACAGATGTGAATTCCCTCTATTAAATCCATTCTGACTTCTCCATCTTTTATCATAATTTATTCACATGCTGGTAATTTTGTGTATTTGAGTTTCTAAAACTCTGTCCAATGTGGACGTCAGACTCAATTGTCTATTCTTCAATTGATATAATGTTGAACTTCCTTAAAAAGATTTTGTGATTTTTGCCAACTTTTATACTTATCAGTCAAAGACTGTATTAGAGTTACTAATTATTTTAGATTGGAGATTCTTTAACTATAATTTAATTAAAAAATGTTTTTTGTTGACTCACTTTATAGCTTCTCTTTCTGAAATATTAGTTCAAGGTATGTCCTCCAGTTTATTCTGCATAAAATAATATTGTAGAGTAAATACCTTCCTAATCACTGTGAATGTGAACAAAAAAGATCTAATTCAGAAAGAGTGTGGCAGTCTCCTTGCTTTATGCCTACACTGATTATTCTATTAAAACTATTTTGGTCTACCAGAATTCATCCTTATCTCTCTTCTGAATAAAATTTCAGTTTCTGAAAAGATGAATTCTATTAATTTTTGTATTTTAAATTTGCTTTTTTTGGTCTCTGTAGACATTATATATATTTAATGTCTGCCTTGGACCTTATAAAAGGTGATACTTATGCTGTCTGAAGTGTTCTTTGGTGGATCTGTTTGAGATCTTCATAATATCAAGTTTCAAGCAAAACTCATGCCTTTTACTCCAGATTCTTCTCCTAAATTGTTTATTACAGACCAGTATTAGCAGCATGCACCTCAGATGATGGAGAATTGCAAAGAATGCTCCTCTTTCAAAGGTCTCAAGGCTGACTACTGCTTACATGTTTTATGGCCATGAGTGGGAGCAGGGAGTGGAAATGTTTTGACAGTTGTCAGAGCATTAGATTAGGATTCTCAAAATGTTTGGATGAGTTATTCCTTTTTCAGTTTTGTTAAAGTGTCTTAAATATGTAAGCATTAGCATTCAGTTCAAGCTGTACAAAATTATCATTATGTGGGAGTTCCTTCTAGCTCAAACAAATAAAAATGATAATGGTAGCACTTCTGTACAATTTATTATCTTGGTGAATGGTGTATTTAGATAAATGCGGATTAAGTTTCAAGGGAGTAAAAAAACCTTGAACAGTCATATTTTATGTTTATGAACACTTTCAGATTGATTAAAATTTAAATAATAAATCATGTGAGAGCAAGCAGTAATAATTCTTAGTAATAAGAGTACCACTGAAATATTAAATATACTCCTGTTATTTTTTTTATTATATGCTAATTTATATAGAGAAATGCACATTGAATGAGTCAGTAGACAGCAGAATGAGGTTTAGGCAGGTGAGAAATCTAAATGCTAAAATACAGCCTCGAGATTTGATACAACATTTTGTGCAGCAAATATAAATTTTAGCACCTCAGAATGGCAGTTCACTAAACCAACCTTTTACTTGTACAGAAAGGAAACAATGCTTGTCTAGAAAGTTTACCTAATGCATGCTGAATACCTTCTTTCAGAGTATTTGGCAACTTACTAGCACTTGGAGCCTCTGAAACACCCTTATTTCTTTGTCTTTGAAGAACAATAGTAAGAGATTTTCAGTCATTTTCTAGGACCCAAAAACAACATGGGAAACATGCAAGGTGTAGGTAGGGAACTTCTCTCAGTTCCCCTGGTTCAGTGCAAGCTTTGCAGTCTGATAATTTCCTTGGGGTTGTTTGATTTTGCAAAAAACAAGCTCCCTTTACTGAATGATTCTAACTGCTGGACTCGCAGTGTGATCTGTGTGGAGTTGCAGCACGAAACTGTAGCGTACTTGTGGTAATGTATTATCATTTCCATTCTGTTGAGAATTAGCAAGCACTGAAGAATTAGTCTGTCACAATCAGGTTTTCGAAGTCACTAGGATTTGGAATAAACTCCATGATTTGTTATTGCATACAAGTAAGCTGGTCTTTAGGAAATATGGTTTGAGTTTGCATTTCTCTACAAAAGACACATAACACTGCAAACATGAGGAAAGGATTCTTCTAAACAGTTTGTAAACTACCATTTTGAACCAAGAGATATTGCTCCTTTCCAGTCTGTAAACTTTACTTAAAAACTACTTTGCTTGCAAACTTATACCTAGCAGAACTAATATTCAGAATCTGCATTTCTGTTCTGATTATTTGGATTGTCTTGATTGTTAAAAACCCCTGTGATTTTAATACAAGTTGTTGATATTATCAGTCCTTCAAATGGCAACTGCACAAACTATTTCTGTTATTAGTTTTATTTATTTATTTACATTGGATAGCTATTTTGATCTCAAACAGCAAATGATGGTCTCAATTTCAACAGAAGCTTCATGTTTGAACTCTTTACTATAAAGCTTTCATAAACCTTAGAGGTTGTTATGATCCTGATACAGTGAAGAACACACAGTTTTACCCAGACTTATAATTTTAGGCAATTAAAGTGAGAAACATACAGTCTTGAAGAGTAGCTTTGGCTCATGCAGTCAGATGCCAGATTGACCTTGTAATAGATCTTTTAAAAAAAGGATAAGGGATAAATACTGACTCATTCTACATTTTTTTTTTTTTTGAGTATAGGATGGAATTCCACTTATTTTGTTAACATTTCTGTGTGACTGAATACTCATGGAGATAAGACCTTTCTCCTTAAAACCACTGTTAAAATATACCTGCATTTTCATGTGGAACAGGACAAATACCCCTGTTCCTTGAAAACTGAATTGAATGATTTCTCTAATGTCCTTGCCATTGAAATGCCTGATGAGGCTGTCTTTCAGATTCTCAATAACGTAATTGCTTGCAGTGTACTGCTATGAACTCAAAAATAACGTAATTGCTTGCAGTGTACTGCTATGAACTCAAAAATAACGTAATTGCTTGCAGGGTACTGCTATGAACTCAAAAATGTTTGACAGTGTGTGTGGAGGAAGCTGAGAGGCTGGAGGAGGTCATAGGTGTTTGGTAAAGTGTGATGGTGTGCCTTGAACTTCTTCACATATCTTTATATTTTGTAGCTTGTTTCTGAAAAGAGATTCTTTATCCTGGACGTTATTCAACACAGGTTGATTGTGTGAATTAAGTCTTGGTTACTGTTATGATCAAAGTATGAATGACAGTATTTTGAATTATGCTTATGGATTATAATTGTCTTGGATAGTAGAGTGTATTTCTTCAGAGGTGAGTATGAGAAATTGAGGCTGTAGATGTTTTCATACAAAATGTCTCTGAACACTGCTTGCTTTCTTACTGCAATGGGACAGGAAACCTTGCTAGGAAAGTATGAGACCACCTGGTACTGAGCAGAAAAATATTTCTCTGCCCACAGAGTGATAATGCATGGATGTCCTGTGATTTAGCTAGCTTCCTATGCTATTTACAATTTGTATAACTGAGAATACCACTAAAACCCATAGCATATTTAAAATGCTTTAATCTTTTGACACTGAACATAGGATCATAGAATAAATTGGGTCAGATGGGACCCGTGGAGGTTTTTCTGGACCAATCTCCTGCTCCATGCAGGATTAACTTCAAAGTCAGATGAGGTTTTTAGGACCTTGTTTGACTGAATTGTGAAAACCTCCTAAGAGAGTGAATCCCAAACTCCATGAGACAACCTCTTTCAGTGATTAACAACTCTTGTGATTTTCTGTTTTTCTTACATGCCATACAATACCTTAATTTTTACATTTTGTTTATTTCCTGTGCATCTTCAAGAAAATTCTGTCTTTGTGTTTCCTATAGCTAAAATTCAAATAGTTGAGGGATGCAGGTAGTTCCTGTCTGCCCACATCCTTCCCTATCTCAGCCTTCTTTACGCTAAACAATCCTATCTCCCTCAGCTTCTCCTTGTATATTGTGTGTTTTATTGCCTGTCTTGTTTGGCCTCTGTTGTATTCTCTCCTGTTTGTTTGTAACTTTAGGATTGGAGGGAACCTAAGCCTTCTCTGAGAGTTAGGTGTTATAAAGTTACATTTCATACAGGTATTGGAAAAACAAATTAATTGTCACGCTTTTTTGGTAAGCAGTTGTATTCCCAGCACAGTCAATGCTTAACCAAGTGCCTTCATTTAGTCTCTGTATTGGCATGTGAAATTAAAATACCAGGTAAAAATCACCATTCTTCATTCAGTGAAAGAGGGAATATTTTTGACTAAAAATATTAAAAGTTATTTTTCTAAAGTATTGTTCCATTTACAATTTAGATAGCTAAGAAGACAATTTCTTTGAGGAAAATAGCCAATAGGAATGTTTGTATATAATATTGATGGGTATGAAAAGGAAAATATATGTTATAGACCTGGCATGACATGCAGCAAGCACTTGTGACAAAGTCTGTCTCCTTGTGATTTATAACTCCAGGATTTTACAGATATCTTGAGTGACTAACCTGCAGTTTTGCCATTTGAATACCCTCAAAGTTGTCTGTAGTAAACAAACATTCTTAATTTCACTGAACTCTTTGCAAGTGCAAAGGATTGATGAATGCTAATCATTTGCAGTATTGGGGTCCAAGGTATGAGCTAAATGCTGCATCCTTTTGATGAGATGACCCATTCTTTTGTGAAGGTAATTCAGGAATGACTCGCAAATTATTTTTATGAAAATTACTTCCTTTGAGCATTTTTTCTACAATTTTTTATTATAAGATAGTCTCAATTTCACTCATGAAAAGATCATGAAAATTATTAAAATTACTTATTTTCACTATATCTCCTTCACCACTAGGGAAAATAAGAAATATATACATTACTTTCTTTGATATTTATTTGTTTATCTTACTAAAAAATTCTAGTACTTACTTTTAAAATGGATGTGACTCTTTCCTTATTTGTGTTTTTTTTCCCCCTGTCCTTTCTTTCTTGCTTTCGTGGATATGAACTCCAGGAGGACAAAGTGGTTAGAGCCTTTTTTCTGTTTAAAGTTCTTTTCTTTTATGGTCAAATTATTTCCTGCCCTACATTTGCTCTCATTTACACAGGTGTAATTCCCACTGAAGGCGAGGGGAATTACTGTCATTAAAATGAAAGCAATGCTTGGCATAAAAGGCTTAACTGTTTTTCAAATGGCTTTCTAATAACCTGTGAGTTGTTGTGAACAGTATGCATGATATTCCTCTCTGTTTGCAGCTTTTGTGAGCATGCCCCTGCCTTTCCTTTGCTTTTGCAATATATGTGCACAGCTTAAAATAGTTAAATGTCATTTGTGTCACAGGTGTTTCTTTGATAAAATTCATTTGTGTTCCTGTAGAAGTGGCATAAAGTGATCAAAATGATTTTTACACTCTGTATCACTGATATGTATGCTCTCCACATTTTAGGTTGTAATTTTTTTGGCATGGCAATTCAGTTCTGATTGTCAATGACAATACAATTAGATACCAGTAAATATTAAGAAAAAATATCTATCTTAAGCGTTTAGGAATATGCCAGCAATGTCACAGAGTTATCCACTAACATAAATTATTTTCCAAACTGGTTTGTAGGCTTTCCTAAAATATAGTGCACATAATGTGTTCAACATAATGTCAAAATAATGTTAAATGTTATGCATGTCACTGACATTGTTTGTCTTGATAATAATACACATAGAAAAAATATTTTACCTTAATCTTTTAGTTTAGCCGGGTTTAAATGGTAGTATAAATCTGAATTTGGGAATGAGCCTGGGTAGGTTTCAATATTTTCACCAAATTAGTGTAATGGTTTCTAAATAAGAGAATTGAGAAAAGTACATGAGCTGGTGTAAATCTGTTTGTCCATCAAACTCTCTGCTGCATTCTAAATAACTTAAATTACAAAAGCTATTTGCCCTGTAATGCTTGAAAAATAAGTTCCGGATTGAAATGGAGTAAAGGAATTCTTTAAAGTTAGTATACTTTTAGTTAATGTATACAGAGAATGACTTTTTCTATAATAAAATGTAATTTTTCCTTCCTGATAGAAGTGCCAAGGCTCACATTTGACTTGCACATATCATTCAGAAATAGTTTGCTTCACACAGAAGTTGTAAGCCATGTGCTGTTGATACCATTGAGGACATATCTTTAGTAGCAGGCAAGTGACATTTGAGGTGGGCCATCTCCTGGTGGCCCAGTCTGTTGAAGGGTACACAGCTTTCTTTTGGCCTTTTTCATCAGTGTTTCTCACAGTTAAAAGGCTGAGAAGGTTCAAAAGCTGTAAAGTAACAGCATTTTGTAGAATACAGAGGTAGCTGCTGAATAGAAAAAGCAGATGAAGAAAAGGAACAATTTTCTCCTTGAAGAATGTACCCTTTCTGTATAACCTTGCAAGTAACTGATGCATGCTAACAGCGCTTATTCCCACAGTCAGTCCAACAACTGATGACTGCCATGTCATCCATGCTGGAGCCATGTCAAATACTAAATTCACCTGGAAAATAAAATTTGAAAAAACATGTGAAGGTTATACTATTATCTGGCTTTACCATGTGCATGTGTTAAGGAGGAAAGGGACAGGAGTGTCTCTAGCTAATCAACTAGTTAGATTTTTCCATGGAAAAGGACAGTGGCATAAGTTGCATTATGTAATGTCTGATTCTGCTGATTTTGAAATAGATGTTTTAGAAGGCAGAAAAAACAAAAAATACATTAAGTCAACTTTTTTTCAACTATAAACATTGTAAAGTAAGAACAGCAGGGATATTTTGGTTTATATTTTAGTAGTAACTGTAAGGTTAAAAGCCCTGGTGTATTGAATGCAGTGTAATGTATCAAAATAGGTACCTTCAATATAAACTGTGTTTTGTTGTATGCTACAGCACTTACCACGAGATTAACACACCCAGTGAAGCCTTAATATTTTTTTTTGTCCTTCATTTTCCAGTGTTAGTGTAGAAGGTCTGAATTCCAGTATTTCTTAGGAGGCCTATTCTGTATTTTGTAACAATAGAATGGCAAGTTCAATAGAAAATGCTCCTAGATAAAGCTATAGATACTTTGTGACTGTTGATGGTTTGTTGACCCAATTTAAAAAATAGCTTTGGAAAATGGGATGTATTCAAAGCATCAGGTCTGTAAAGAGTAAGAAATATATTTTAGTGTAGAAGTAATTGTTGCATCATTTGAATAATATTGCAGGGTAAAGCTGGGACTGCACATGGAGTTGAATAATTGGGACAACCATAAAGCAGTTTACTGGTGCTATTAATGGTGATGGGGAATGGAATTAGACATGGATCCTGGTTGTGTTTTAGTGTTGTACCCTTAAACACACACAGAAGGGAACTTAAACCAGATGTCCTTCTATTCCACTGGTGAGACCCCACCTGGAATGCTGCATCCAGCTCTGGGGTCCTCAGCGCAGGAAGGACATGGACCGTGGAGTGAGTCCAGAGGAGGCCACCAAGATGATCAGAGGAATCAGAGCACCTCTCCTATGAGGAAAGGCTGAGATGTTTCTCCAGGCTGAACATCCCAAGAGAAGACTCTGGGAAGACCTTATAGCAGCCTTCCAGCACCTGAAAGGATCCTACAAGGAAGATGACGACAAATAGTTTTAGCAGGGCCTGCTGCTATAGGACGAGGGGAATATGGTTTTCAGCTGAAGGAGGGTTGGTTTACTTAGGTACAGGAGGAGGTTTTTAGAGTGTGGGAAGTAAAATGCTGGAACAGGTTGGCAAGAGAGGTGGTGGAGTGGTGCTCTGAGCAACCTGGTCAAGTTGAAGCTGATCCTGCCCATGTCAGGGGGGTTGGACTAGATGAGCTTTAAAGGTCCATTCCATCCCAAACCATTCTTTGGTTCTATGAGATTAAATATCACTTCAGAGTTTGCAGCTCGCTGTTCCTCTTCCCACACAGAACATGGGAGTGACTCATTCATGTCTCAGTCCTTCCTTAGTCAGGTATATAAAGAAGTACTTTTACAAAATTGAGACCCCAGTGTGCCAGAAAGGAATAATTTAAGATTAAAAGAGTTAGATAGTGTCTGAGAAGGAAACAGGGAATGTTTTAAAATTGAAAAATAGTGTGAACTTCTTCCAACTTCTGGATGTTTTTTCTTTAAGAAAAAAAGGTACATTTAAAAAGGTTTCCTGCATTTCAATCATTAATTGTCAGTCAAAATGTGACTATGAGGTACAGATTTCTTTGAGAAACTAGAGTAAATTAAGACTTAAAAATGAAGCTGATTTAAAATGAAAGGTATACAGGATCATTTCCTTTTTAATTATACTTTGACAATTATATTCCTAATCTAATAACTTTATTGAAATGAGCAACACATTCACTACAATAGTGAAATTTTGTGATGATATCACTGAAAATCATGGAAAGTGTGATTAAACTGATGAGGAACTAGGAAGTGCAATGCAGTTTGGGCATTTATGTCTTTAAATAGTAGGAAATGCAAAAGTAGTAGAATTTCTAAATTTTTACTGAATTTTGTCCCGAATTTAAATGAAGTTATAGACTTACTACCTTTCATTGGAGACCATGACTTTAAAGTAACCACTGGTACTCTGAAGACAACAAATAAGTAAGCAACCTAATGCATTTTTGGAAAGAGCTGACAGGAGAAAATGGGGTTCCTTCACTTTGCTTGTTATTATCTGGCTTTTTAAAGCTGATAGAATTCCAGTGGAATGCTTTGTTATGGACATTTGAGGTTTAGATTCATTGATTCATATTTTTGAATGTTTGTTTTCAAGTGAGAAGTTTTGTAGTGACATGAAATCAGTAGTGGCATGGCTGTCAGAACTTCTGATACTTTTTTGGTTAATTCCTCTTTTCCAGTGGATTCAGGATCTTGTTTTTAGAGAATCTGTTTTAAACTGCTACAGATCAAAGCCTTCACCAAGACTGTTTATAATTTTGTACAGGATAAACCTGAGGAAGAATGCAAGGGACCTTGTTTTTTGTTCTGTCTCTATTTTCTGTGCAAGGAAGTGAAATATTTGGCACTTTCTTTGAAGTAAGTCTTCTACCTTTCTAATGTTATTAATTTTGAAATACTTAAGACACAGACAAATAACTTGTATTTAAAAATCTATTCTGAAACCTCCACCAGTCCTAAAAACTTTTTTCTTCCTAAAACAATTCTATATAGAATTACAGTAGAAAGAATAAAACAGCAATCATCATAGGGCATTGTTCTTTATCCCTTTATCTTACTGCAGTTAAAACTTCCTATTCCCCAGCTTTACTTCACCATGTTCCAAAGTAATCAACATTGTTATTCCAGTCAGGAGAGACCTAGGTGTTGACCTAGGTATTTTCTGTCACTTTTGTGAAAATTTCACTGCTAAAAAAGAAAGTTTTTCTCCTTTTACTTCTGGCATTCTGAGGAGGTCTTGGGCCCTACCAAGCTCTGTATTATTTCTAAACCATCAGTGTTGTAGTTCTGTACCTCCACAGCAGCTGAAAACTTTCTCATCTGAAATAGAAAGAATGCGAGAAATATTTGCAGAAGCCATAGGTTGCTTCTCCTACCTCTGCCTTCTTGCTTCTGGAAAATATCTGCTTGGGGAAACTCTTGCCCTGTTCTCGACACTTGACTCAAGCTGATTTTCTGTCTTATGAAGAAACAGACTCAGAGTCTCAAGATTTTTGTGGCCTGTGTATGCTCTGTGTATCTTTTTTTAACAAAGAAATATGTTAATTTACAGATCACTGCACTGAAACTTGAAAAAAATCAATATTTTAGAAAGAGACTCACTATAAAATATATAATATTTCCTATACTTAGAATATCTCTGAGAAAAGTCTCTTGTACCAGCTATTACATAGGATTGTTTTCTGAGATACCTCTTTGCTGTGGGGAGCTTAATGATTTTCCTCAGCTCATGAGTATTGTCTTTCAGATTGGGATCTCTAAAAGTCATTCAGAGAGTTGGCAACTTAGATCTTTCTGAATCCACTTGGGCCACTTGTCCCAGCCTGT